AATTTACACAGCTTTTACTTTCTGAGTGCCCATCACATCTCTTGAGGTGCTAAAATACCAGGAAATTGCAAAGACCCCCAAATGACCCCTTTTCAGAAAATATACACCCTAAGCTATCTATTGAGAGGCATATTGAGTCCATGGAAGATGTATTTCTTTTCCACAAGTTTTTGGAAAATTACAAAAACATTTATTTTTTTCACAGACAAAGTTGTCAATTAACCACCTCCAAACCACCAAATAAAAAAAAACATAAATAATAATATAAAAAAATAAAATAAAAATGTAAAAAAAGTTTAAAAATTATAAGTTTTGGTTATAAACTAATTTGTGTTATTTGTTTTTACTAAAAAGATAACAGAATAAATTTTGGCCAAGATTTATGATGAAATATTATTTATTTGCAAAATTTTATAAGAAAAACACTTTTCAAAATTTTTGGACATTTTCATTTACATAGGAAAAAAAATAAAAAATCCCAGTGGTGAATAAATACCACCAAAATAAAGCTTTATCTATCTCAAAAAAATGGTAAAAAAATTCATATGGGTACATTGTTGCATGACTGTGAAATTGTCATTCAAAGTGTGATAGCACTGAAAGCTGAAAATTGGCCTGGACAGGAAGGGGGTAAAAGTGTCCGGACTTGAAGTGGTTAAATGATATATTTCTCGCACAAGCCATGGGTATATGTGGAATTACACCCCAAAATACATTCTGCTACTTCTACCGAGTATGGGGATACCACATGTGTGAGACTTTTTGGGAGCCTAGCCACATACAGGAGCCTGAAATCCAATGACCACTTTGAAAGCCTGAAGGTGTGTAACTTCCTCATTTCACTTCCTCACTACCTTCCAAAAGGGGTTCATTTGGGGGGGGTTGGTGCTATCCTGGCATTTCAGGGCCTCCAAAAATGTGATAGGTAGTCAGGAAGTGTAAAGAGGAAATAAAGCCCTTTAAAAGCCTGAAGGTGCTTATTGGATTTTGGTGTCCTGTACTTGGCTAGACTGCCAAAAAGTCTCTCACATGTGACATCCCCATACTCGGGAGAAGCAGCAGAATGTGTGTTGTGGAGTAAATCTACATATACCCATGGCATGTGTGAGCAATAAATCATTTAACTGACAATTTTGTGTAAAAAAAAATATATTTTTTTAATGTAATTTTCCAGAAACTTGTGGTATAAAAATAAATTCTTCTATTGACTTAACATGCTTCTCAGTAAATAGTTTGGGGTGTCTACTTTCCAAAAAGGGGTCGTTTTGGGGGGTGGGGGCATTTTATACCCAGCATTAGAAGTGTATGTCACACATCACTCACTCTTTTAACCACCTGAAGAACAAGCCTACTCTGACACTTTTTGTTCACATGAAAAAAATCTGTATTTTTTGCTAGGAAATGAATTTGAACCCCCAAATATTATATATTTTTTTAAAGCAGACACCCTAGTTAATAATATGGTGGGTTGCTGAAATTTTTTATGTCACATAGTACTCACGCAGTGATTTTTCAAATGCAAATTTTCTGAAAAAAAAAACACTTTTTTAACTTTTAATGCACAAAAACACAATATATCAGCCAATTATTTGGTAAAAGATGGCGGTATGCCGAGTAAATAGATAAAACATGACATGCTTTAAAACTGCACATGCCCCGTGCAATGGTGAGAAACTGCATATATTTTTAAGCTACCATTTTAGATTTACAGAGGTGGTCTAGTGCTAGAATTACTGCCATTGATCTGACGTTCACACAGATACCTCACATGCATGGTGCAACCGCTGTTTACATACTGGTACGGGGTCAACCCTCGAGCACGCACGTGTGCTCGTGTGCAGGGGGACGAGGGTGGTTTGTTGGGGGTTTTTGAAGTTATTTTGATTTGTTTTATTATTTTTACACTGCCCCTTTCATTTTTTTTTGGGGGGGGTTACTTTTAATGCTATCACAGGGAATGCAAATATCCCCTATAACTTCAATGGGCATTGCCATATATTCTTTTTTTTTAAATTTGGGGTCTATTTGGGGTCTATCAGACTCTAGATATCTCCTCTGCCCTTACATTATCTAATCTCACTAAGATCGGTGTGATCAGATGCTTTCCCAAATTACAAATGGCGCTGTTTATATCCTGCGAAACTGAAGTGATGAAATGCTCGTAGCATCCGATTTCTTAGACTGTAGAGATGATTGGCACCATTCTGGTCTCCAATCAGCTCTATGGTCAGCTGGCAGAAACACCAGCTGCATTCTCAGGTTCCCCCGATGGCACGGGGCTGCCCGAGAAGGCCATGGAAGGCTCCCTCTGCTTGTAAAAGTAATCCTGCAGCTAATTACCCACTAGGATTGCTTTTACATAAAAGCCAATTGCCGGCTGAAAAACTATACCAGAATGATGCCTGCAGCTGCAGGCATCATTCTGGTATAACCACTCTGGTTAATCATTCTGGTATCATTCTGGTATAATAAGTCTAGTGATGTACCAGTACGTTGCTGGTCCTTGTTGGGTGTATATGCTATGTTCTTTTTTATGCAGCCTTTGAGCTGAATGGAAAAAAAAGAGAAGAAATCTCTGCCAGAACAAGTGTGTGGTATTCCCACCATTAGAATATACTGCCCTGCATCCACCCACTTCTAATGGTGGGCACACATTAGGTCACACGGTGCCACATGTGCCAATTCCAAGATTGTACAAATGTCTAAATAGTGGCACGCTTGAATAAAAATTGTCCACGTATAAGTGGTACCCCATATGGAAAAAGGATGACACCAAGTCCCAAACTAACTTGCCACTGCTCCCCATGTAGTCTGGGCATCTGGGGGGCTCCACACATGATTATCTTTTCCCTCATAAATCCAAAACTTATATGTATAGCCTGTTGCCAGGTTTTATACATCTTAAACCCATTTCTGGCATGCTTGCTGGGGATAAATTGTTTGAATGCAAAGCGGCCAGAACAATTAATGAGGGACGCAGATGTTTTGCTGGGGAGTATAGACATCTGCAAATTTTTGGTTCAGGTGATTTACAAGGGGCTGAATTCTGTGTAGTCAGTCAAATTCAGGGTTACCTCAAGGATGACAGAGTGTGTTGTCATTGAAATGCATAAAACACATACTCTCATATCTATGCCTGGCCATGGCAGCAGAGAACATGGGCATATGATGAATCGGGTCTGTGGACCAATACAACTGCAATTTGTTTTTTTTAGTAATGCCCATGTTGAGGATTAGGCCCAAAAATCCTTAAAATTTGGAAATGGGTTTCCATGCAAATAGTCTGGCAAGGTTTGAATTTGGGTTGGCGGCGATAAATTGTGTATATAAATTGCTTTGATCCGCAATCAATGCATACAGATCTTCTGTGAAAAACAGCTCCAAAAAAATCAAGGGGAGTATTTAACACCTTCTAGCCCGGCCCATAGCAGATTGATGACCGAGCAGGACACTCGCCGTTGTGACGGGGCGTCATATGACATTCTGTCAAAACGAGCCGTTCACGCGGCCGCGGGGCCGTGCAGCAGCACGATCAGTCACCGGCTGTGCCCACGGGACACAACCGATGACAAATCACTACACCAGCCTGTTGCCCGTGTCATGTGACCACTGTGACCAATCACAGCAGATCACATATCAGTTGTATACAATGGATGGCTTCCTGTCATGCCATCCATTGTATACAATTATGTTGTTAGCTGTGACTGGTCAAAGCAGTCACATGATACAGACAGGGCCAATCATGTGATCAGCTTTGCCCAGTCGCAGCAAATCACAACAAAAGACTATATTAATCAGTTTCATTCAGTAACAATGATTGCAAATATCAATTAAATACATTGGTATTAGCAATCATAATGTGTTAAAAAAAAATCCTGATCACTTGCCCAGAGTAGTTCAATGTTACTATGGTAACATTGTATTGCTTTGGTCACAGTGTGCTGAAAAATAAAATAGTGAAAAAAAGAAAAAATTTAATAAAAAAAAAAAAAAATAGAAACATTTGAAAAAAAAATACAAGTGCAATCATTATTATTATTTTCACCAAAGAAATGTAGCAGAATACATTTTGACCTAAATTTATGAAGAAATGATATTTATGTGCAAAATTTTATAACAGAAACAAAGAAAAGTGCGGCAGACATTCTGACATTGGGGGGTACTGACTTGGGGTCACTGACATCCCCCGTGACACCAATACAGTGATCAATGCAAAAAAAAAACACTGACACTGTACTAATGGCACTGGGGAGGAAGGGGTTAAGTTTATTATACAGGGAAAGGGTTAACTGTGTGAGGGGAGTGTTTTACTAGGGGGAAGGGGTGTGTACTGCAGGGAACACCGCTGATCGGGAGAGAGAAACTCTTCTGTCCCGATCAGCGTGTCCTGGAGCTGTCAGGGAACTGACAGAAAGCACAGCTACTGCAGCTGTGCTCTCTGTCAGCGATTGCCGCTGATCTCCGGGACATAGCCGGTAACGACCGGCTGTGACCCGGCGACTGACATCCGCGGCTGTGATCGGCGGGACAGGTAGGGCGGCAGCGCACCTCGCGCACGCCCCCTACCTGTTTACAAAAACACACGTTTTAAAATGTGCTTTTGCCCAGCCGTGCCGCCCTGCCACCGTATTTATACAGTGGCTGGGCGGCATGTGGTTAAATATGATTACTGGTGCACTGATGGCCAATCTGACGCTATCTTGGAGGGGCGAAAAAAACTGTGGGAGCACGAATCAAGTATATATTTTATGCACCCATGCCGCCCTGTAGCAGTATTTCAACTATAGGGCGGCTTGGAAGCGATTAAACATGTCCAGTAAAAAAAAAATTTAAAAATCAAATTTCGTCATAAATTTAGGCCAAAATATATTCTGCTACATGTCTTTGCTAAAAAAAAATCCAATATGTGTAAATGGATTGGTTTACGTGAAAGTTATAGCGTTTAAAAATGGCGGTATATATACTGGAATTTTTTTTTTTTTTTTTTTAACAATGGCGACTTATAGCAGGACTGTCGTGGGTACTCTGACACTGGGGGGAATTGACTTGGTGTCACTGACATCCCCAGTGACACCAATACAGTGATCAGTGCTAAAAAAAAAGCACTGACACTGTACTAATGGCACTGGGCAGGAAGGGGTTAACATGAGGGGCAATCAAAGGGTTAACTGTGTGCTGGGAGTGTTTTACTGGGGGGCGAGGGGGGTGTGTGCTTCACTGTAAGCACACTGATCTGGATGTGCACAGCCATCCAGAGCAGTGTGCCCAAACTGACAGGGAAGAGGACTGTTGGTAAACAAAGCAGCCCTCCTCCCCATCGGCGATTGTTGGTAATCACCAGGCACCGGCGGGTAATCACCGGTCGGGACCTGGTGATTGACAGCCACGGCCACAAATGGCGGCACGGGTAGGGCTCGCGCGCCCCCTCTACCCGGAAATGCAAAATCATATATATACGTGATTTTGCGCACCCATGCCGCCCTGTAGCAGTATTTCTGCTATAGGGTGGTCGGGAACCGGTTAAGGAGGAAAAAAAAAATCTATCCCTGCAAGGTAATGTTATAATGTGCTAGTGTGCGTCGCATTATGAAAAACTTACCTTTATGTGAAGCCCTCTAGCGGCGTGCTGTCACCACAGTGAAGACTTCCATTTACACCTGGTCTTCCTTCTGGGCTGCAGCCACTTGACTAGCTGAGCCGTGATGATGTCACTCCAGTGTATTTGTGCGGGAGTCTCGGCCACATCACAGAGCTCTGAAGGAATGGTACTGGCATGCCGTCCCTTCAGAGCGTATGCGCCGGTGACAGCACCGGCTGCCGCTCACTAGAATATCTCCTAAATGGTGCACGTTTAGGAGATATTCATTTTATATAAGCTTTATTATAAGCTTACCTGTAGATAAAAATTTAAAAAAAGAGATTATTGCCACTTTATTTTTTAAATAACCCATAGTAATCTTTGAACGAACCCTGGTTGGGAAAGGCTGGGTTTGAGTATCCTCTAAGACAAAAAAAAGACAGTGCTACAATTGTCCTGATAAAGCATTGCAGCAGACAAAAAAAAATGCAGGGATTTTCACACCTTTGCTAAATTCACTGATCCCTGTACTCCTAAGAACAAAAGTATATTGTAATAAATAACAGCTGCTTTCAATGCTACAACTGTGGACTGCATAACCTACAAACCTTACTATTCAACTCCATACTTACTTTGTCATATTCCCACATGTGCTTACATTTGGTTCATGTCTGTAGGATTAAAAACTGATAGTAGAATATGTCATGTTTTCAGTAAATAGAAACAGTAAAACAAAAAGTTATCTGCCAAAGGAAAGCAGCAGCTAGAATAGGGCAGTGATGACTGTACGTAGCACAGACTACAACCCCTGGCAAAAAGTTTGGAATCGCCACTCTTGGAAAATGTTCATTCAATTGTTTAATTGTGTAGAAAAAAAAAAAACAATCACAGACATGCCTCAAAACTATTTGCATTAAACATTCAAACCTTCTGGCTTTTAGAAACACTTAACAAACAAAATAAAAAAGAAAGAAAACTGTAGTCAGTTGTAACTGTTTTTTTTGCAGATCAAGCAGAGGAAAAAAAATACGGAATTGCTCAATTCTGAGGAAAATATTATAGAATCATGAAAAAAAACACACTACAGTAGACCGCTATTACTTTGTTGCCTCACCTCTGGCTTTTATAACAGCTTGAATTCTCTGAGGCATGGATTTAACTATCGACAAACAGTATTCTTCATCAATCCGGCTCCAACTTTCTCTTATTGCAGTTGCAAGATCAGCTTTGCAGGTTGGAGCCTTGTCATGGACCATTTTCTTTCATTTCCACCATAGATTTTCAATTGGATTGAGGTCCAAACTATTTGCAGGCCATGCCATTGATATTATGTCTTTCTTGAAGGAAAGTTTTCATGGCTTTTTCCCTATGGCAAGATGCATTATCATCCTGAAAAATGATGTCATCACCACCAAACACCCTTTCAATTGATGGAATAAGAAAAGTGTCCAAAATCTCAATATAAACTTGTGTGTTTATTGAAGATTTAATGACTGTCATCTCCCCCATACCTTTACCTGACATGCAATCCCATATCATCAATGATGGTGGAAATTAACATGTTTTCTTCAGGCAGTCGTCTTTATACATTTCATTGGAATGGCACCAAACAAAAGTTCCAGCATCATCACCCTGCCCAATGCAGATTCATGATTCATCATTGAATATTACTTTCATCCAGTCATCTACAGTCCATGATTGCTTTTCTTTAGCCCACTGTAACCTTGTTTTTTTTTTCTGTTTAGGTGTTAACGATGGGTCTCATTTGGCTTTTCTGTATGTAAATCCCATTTTCTTTAGGCGATATCTTACAATTCGGTCACAAACATGGACTCCAGTTTCTGCTCATTTGTTCCTCATTGTTTTGTTGTGTGTTTTCGGTTTTCACGACCTATTGCTTTAAGTTTGCTATCTTGACGCTTTGATGTCTTCCTTGGTCTACCAGTACACTTCCCTTTTACAACCTTCCCATTTGATTTGTACTTTGTTCAGATTTTATACACCGCTGACTGGGAGAAATCAACATCTTTTGCAACATTCCGTGATGATTTACCTTCTTGAAGAAATTTTATAATCCTATCCTTTGTTTCAACTGACATCTCTTGTGTTGGAGCCATGATTCATATCAATCAGCTTGGTACAACAGCTCGCCAAGGTGTTCAAGCACTGCAGACTAATTAGCAGATGTAATCTGATGCAAATGTTTGTTTTAGAACTGCAAAGTACAGTTAGGTCCATATATATTTGGACACAGGCACAATTTTCATACAGTACTTTTGGCTCTGTGTGCCACCAGAATAACTTAAAATGAAATAATCCAAATGAATTTGAAGTGCAGACTTTCAGCTTTAATTCAAGGGCTTGAACATAAATATCAAGTACAAAGTTTAGGAACTGCAACCATTTTATACACAGTCCTTCCATTTTCAGGGTCCCAAATGTATTTGGACAAATGAATATAAGCATAAATAAAATATTAATTTTTAATATTTTGTTGAGAATCCTTTACTGGCAATGACTGCCTGAAGTCTGGAACCCATGGACATTACCAAAGACTGGGTTTCCTCCTTTCTGATGCTTTGCCAGGCTCTAACTGCAGATGTCTTCAGTTGTTCTTTGTGGTCTTTCTGCTTCTAGTTTTCCCTTCAGCAAGTGAAATGCATGCTCAGTTGGGTTGAGATCAGTTGACTGACTTGGCCATTGCAGAATATTCCACTTCTTTTCCTTCAAAAGCTCCTGGGTTGCTTTTGCAGTGTGTTTTGGATCATTGTCCTTCTGTACTGTGAAGCGCCATCCAATCAACTTTGCTGCACTTGGCTGAATCTGGGCTGACAGTATATCTCTAAACACTGCAGAATTCAACCGGCTGCTTCTGTCTTCTGTCACATCATCAATAAACGCCAATGATCCAGTGGCACTGGAACCCATGCATGCCTATGCCATCACACTGCCTCCACCATGTTTTACAGATGACATTGTGTGCTTTGGATCATGAGCTGTTCCAAGCCTTCTCCACACTTTTTTTTCTTCCCGTCATTCTGGTACAAATTATTCTTAGTTTCATCCGTCCAAAGAATGCTTTTACAGAACTGGCTTTTTTAGATGTTTTTTGGCAAAGTCTAATCTGGCTTCTCTATTCTTCAGGCTTATGAATGGTTTGTACCTTGTGGTGAAGCCTCTGTATTTGCTCTCGTGAAGTCTTCTGTTGATTGTAGACTTTGACAATGATACCCTGGAGAGTGTCCTTCACTTGTCTGGATGTTATGAATGGATTTTTCTTTACCATAGATTGGATCCTGTGATCATCCATCACTGTTGTCTTCCGTGGACATGTATGTCTTTTTATGTTGCTGAGCTCACCAGTGCATTCTTCTTTCCTCAGAATGTACCAAACCGTTGATTTGGCTGCTCCTAATGTTGCTGCTATCTCTCTGATGGATTTGTTTTGTTTTTGAAGTTTTACTTGCATAGACAGTTCCTTTGAACGCATAATGCAGGTTCACAGCAATAGATTCCAAATACAAATACCAGACTTAGAATCAACTGCAGACCTTTACCTGCTTAATTGATGAAGAAATAATGAAGGACTAGCCCACACTTGGCCATGAAATAGCTTTTGAGTCAATTGTCCAATTACTTTTGGTCCCTTGAAAAAGGGGGGATGGCTACTCTTAAGAGCTGTAATTCCTACCCTCAAATTAAGAGAGTGTGCATTTTCAGCCCATATCAATTATATAACTATAGCTAGAATATGTTTTGGTAAATACCTGACTAATACTAAAATTGTACCTGTGTCCAAATATATATGACTTAACTGTATATGGTGATTCCATAATATTTTCCTCAGAGTAGAGTGATTCCATATTTTTTTTCCTCTGCTTGATCTGCAAAAACAGTTGCAATTGACTACAGTTTTCTTTCTTTTTTAAAGTGCTTCTTAAAGCCAGAAGGTTGGAATGTTAAATGAAAATAGTTTTGAGGCATGTCTGTGATTGTTTTTTTTTTTGTTGTTGTTTTTTTACACAATTAAACAATTGAATGAACATTTTCCAAGAGTGGTGAGTCCATACTTTTTGCCAGGGGTTGTACTACAGAGAATATCGGCATCCCTATAGGCCCTCTAATGTGACATATGGATAATTACATGTAACCAAGCAGGCCCAATGTAAGTTTTAAGAAAGCTAACTTCTGGTGTTTAGCGAACATATTCATGTAAAATCAAAAGTAGACGAAATATGATTTGGCATTGATGAAAAATTGGGGATCTTGGAGATGCTATCATTAAGGTCCACGTTCAGGCATTTCATGTTATAGGGTGCCACCACTGTGTCTTCCATTTGTGCTCCTTTTTTGTTACCCTGTCACATGGGCTTGTGATGGTGGACAACACATTAAACTGGCATGATCCACTGTTTCACTTTTAGAAACCTGCCCTATAAATTGGCATTATAGAACTATTAGAACTCGTGGATACCGTGGAGGATGCAAAAAGTTTTTTTTGGCTAAAACTGGTGCTTCCTAGAAGCATTCCCTCTTTACTATTTTACAAAGTTGGGAGGTCTGCCAGCCACAAAAAAAAGTATTCAGGGGCACTTATTACTTGTGCGGTTTTCTGCAATCAGTAGATGAATAATAGACTGCAGGAGTACCGGAATTGGAACAGACAACTACCACAGTTGCTCTGTGTCATTTCCCCTAATCCAGTAATCCGAGTGTTGTGTGACTTTCATCTTCCTCTGATGTGTGCGCCCAACAACTTTCCAGTTAGTGCTCTGTACTTATTTATCCACAAGCGGTAGTGGGGATAAAGCATGATGCTGCTTACAGTGGCAGTCAATGAAAGAATGCCCAGGGAGAGATTCTGCACAGGGAGACTAAAGCTGTTAATCATTTTTAACCCTGGGCTAAACATATTTTGAGAAAAGGTGAAAAACATGGATATTAGGTGGGAACAATGTTCCCCAAAACACTTTGCAGAAGAAAGTAGAAAGCAGAATTATTTGAGTCCCAGGCTTCCACCAAAGGTCACTGCAGCTAGTATTTCCAAAGGTAGCGAGCAACAAAGGATCCAATTGCTAATAAAAATAGAACTGGAAGATGGATATTTTCCCCACAGTAACCATTCAGTTATTATATACTATTCTCTGGGAAAAATTGTGAATTAACCTGCTTAGTCACATGCAAACTATTGGCTTAGCATGACAGTCAGGCATCCACAAAATGGGAAGTCAACCACTATAATTGTGGCTCATTTTGCATGAGATTTGGCTATTATTGGTTAAAAAGGTTGGCAAAACTACAGCCTCCCTGTTTGCATTCCTAATCTAAGTAATTATCTGCCGACCAGGGGCAGACTGACCATTTGGAAACTTGGGCACTGCCCGAGGGCCCGGGGTCAGTAGGGGGCCCCATGAGATGTCCCTGGTGCCTTTTTCATAGGCTTTTTTGAGTTTGGGCAAGGACACAGGGGCCCCATGATCCCCTATTGCCCTGGGGCCCCATGAGTTGTCAGTCCGCCCCTGCTGCCTACCTCAAACTTTTGTCACTTTTATGCTGAGGTCCTAGTTCATTTGATTTGGTGCTGTGGATGATACTCCACTACCCACTTGGAGACCGCCTAACGTACATAAATGTTGCTGCTTCCAAGTGGTATATTTGGTGCTTGCATCATCCTGGTACTGTTTTTGCTTCTGCCAGCGGATCTTTTTTTTTTTTTTTAATAAAAGCCACCCTAGCAACTAGTTAGCTGCTGGATTGCTTTTACAGGCCACCCTGCTAGTGCCTCTCTCTGGGTTCTTCGCCCCACTGAAGAACCCGGAAGGTCCCTGATGAGTTCTATGGTATAGGAAACCAGAAGCAACAAGTATTTTCATCACTTCCGGTTTTCCTGGATATATACAGTGCCATTTCTAAATAGAAAAGCATTTGATCACAACAATCTTGTGCACACAAGACATATAGGGTCCAATACAGTGGTCTCCAAAAACTTCTAACCAAAGGGCCCGTTTACTGTCCTTCAGACTTTAGGGTGGCCGGATTGTGGCCAGTGGAAGTACAAAATGTCGGTGTCAGTGGGAGTAAACAATGCCCCATCTTTAGTATTAGGGGAGGAATAGTGACCCAATGTTAATGTCAGTGGAAGGAAGAGCACCCCATCACTGGTGTCAGTGATAGGAATTAATGTTCCACTGTTGGTGTCAGTGGGGAGAATAGTGCCTTTTATCAGAGGGGAAAAAGGGCTCGATAAAGATAAGCAAAGGGCCACATCTGGCCCCCGGGCCACAGTTTGGAGACCACTGGTCTAATAGACCCCAAATCTCTCCATAAAGAGGACTTTTCATAAGGGTTGTGAAATAATTTCCTTGTGAAATATTCCTTGTGAAATAATTTAAAGGACCTGTTCCCTCATGCCACGTGCAAAGCATGACATGTTAGTATCTATGTACTTGGCATAACACCATCTTTTATATTTTTTTGTGTACATTAAAATCCATTTAAGTGTATTTTTCAAAAAAACTTGCATTTAAAAAACCGCCGCACAAATACCATGCGATATAAAAAATTGCAAAACCCACCATTTTATTCTCTAAGGCCTCCCCCAAAAAAAAAAAAAAAAAATTATATATATATATATATACACACACACACACTCACTGGTACACCTGTTGAAGTGCTTGGTAACACAAATTGCTAATCGGCAAATCACATGGCAGCAACTCAATGCATTTAGGAAATTAGACGTGGTAAAGACGACTTGCTGAAGTTCAAACCGAGCATCAGAATGGGAAAGAAAGGGGATTTAAGTGACTTTGAACCTAGCATGGTTGTTAGTGCCAGAGGGGCTGGTCTGAGTATTTCGAAAACTGCTGATCTATGGGATTTTCAATCACAACCATCTCTATGGTTTACAGAGAATGGTCCGAAAAAGATAAAATATCCAGTGAACGGCAGTTGTGTGGATGAAAAGCCTTGTTGATGTCAAAGTTGCATGCAGAATACCATCTCTGAATGCACAACACAAACCTTGAAGCAGATGAGCTACAGCAGCAGAAGACTGCACCAGGTGCCACTCCTGTCAGCTGAGAACAGGAAACAGAGGCTACAATTCGCACAGGCTCACCAAAATTGGACAATGAAAGATTGGAAAAAACATTGCCTGGTCTGAGGAGTCTTGATTTCAGCTGCAACATTCAGAAGGTAGGATCAGACTTTGGCATAAACATGACAGCATGGATCCATCCTGCATTGTATCAACAGTTCATGGATGCGCAGCCGACAAATCTGCAGCAACTGCGTGATGCTATCATGTCCGGGTCCAACCAGGTACTAGTAAAGTGTACCTAATAAAGTGGCCGCAAAGTATATATATCCACTTGAAAACCAAGCATTTTCTGGCAACATTTTGTTTACATCAGTATTTTTTGCTAGAAACTTACTTATAACCCCCAAACATTATATATATATATTTTTAGCAAAAACCCCAGAGAATGAAATGGCAGTCGTTGCAATTTTTTCTGCCACATGGTATTTGCGCAGCAGTTTTTCAAATGCAATTTTTGGGGAAACAATACACTTTAATAAAAAAAAAACACAATATATACCCTGATTTTTTTGTAAAATATGAAAGATGATGTTATGGCAAGTAAATAGATAACATGTCATGCTTTAAAATTGTGCACACTTGTGGAGTGGTGACAAAATATGGTACGTAAAAATCTCTTTAGGTGGCGCTTAAAATTCTTTCACAGGTTACCTGTTTAGAGTTACAGAGGAAGTCTAGCACTAAAATTATTTCTCTCACTCTAACATTCGCGGCGATACTTCACATGTGTGCTGCGACCACCGTTTCCATATACGTGCATAACTTACATATTCATTCACATTCACACGTGTGCACGGAGGGATGGGGGCATCCCTTGTAATAGAAATCAGGATGACAGGTCCTCTTTAAGGAGAGATCCATGATCAAAAAGACCACAAATTTCTCCTTTACCTTTAAAAGCAAAAGAGCAAAAGATCTTTTGCTTTAAAAAAAAAAAATGGTTTACATCCTCCCTGGGTTGGAAGTGACGTCATAGTCTCTTGTCGCCTCTGTGACCAGCGGGCCACACCGTCGGATCGTTGCATCGAGAAAAAACCGGTGAGCAGTGGGAGGGAGGACATCCCCTCCCAGTACTACTGAAAGCATTCTAGTAGCTAATGAGCTGCCCAGACCGTTTTCATGAGAAAGCCGGCCGTCGGCTGAATAAAAACATGCCGGGGTTTTGGCTGATATCTTCAGCCATAACCCCGGTCAACCACTTGCAAACCACAACATATATATATATATATATATATATATATATATATATATATATATATATATATACACACACACACACATACACGTATTGCAGTCGGCAAGTGGATATATAATGTTTGATGGTTCTAAATAATTTTCTAGCAGAAAAAGCAGATTTTTACATGTAAAACAAAAAGGGTCAGAAAAGGCTGGGTCTTTAGGTGGTTACTATTGTCTTTTTGGGTAGTCACATGACTTTGCTTTCTAATGGCAGTTATTTCAAATCATAGAGTGTTAAATCCTTACAAAGCTCTTCTTCATTGCACTTCCCCAGTGTTCACATCCCTGGAAAATATTTCAGTCATGCTAGCAGTGCAGCATTTTGGGAGAAGCTCTCAGCTAACAGGGCTGCAGACTTGAAAGGTCTGATCCAAGCTTCAGGGTGATTACACACAGCCCAGTAAGCAATAAATACAATCAATTCAAGCACCACTTATAGAACTCATGCCACAAAACATATCACACAAAAGCTAGATACAAGGACAGACTATAAGGTATTGGATGGGCTGATGTCTTCATTCACCTATGCAACTATGTATGCTTATGAACTTTAGAAACACTTATCAAATGCAGAAAATTATTTTCTACAAAAGAAAAGAATAAACTTTTCACCACTTGTTTGATGCACTGTACCAGCAGCCAAGTTGGAGAGAGCTTTTTATAGGGGTCCTGGCAGTCCAGCAACACAAATCAACAATAGACAGATTTTCTTTCAGTTCTGTCCTTCTATGGCCCACTATCTTTTAATTCAGTCTCACTGCTGAAGTAACCAAAGGCCACATTCGAGCCAATTCAATCTGCAGTAAAATGAATATTCAGTTTTCATTTTGTTGCTTTCCACATTTCTATTTTTATTCAATTTCCATATAAATATTAAGTGCCAATGAAATATGTACCTTGGATTATAGTTCTGCGCAATCCCAACACAAGGATACATCAGCGGGAAAGCTTTGCTGTGTGGCTGGAAGACAGATTGCAGCAACGTGCTCTTCTCACATTAAATGAGAAGCTAGCCTTCCTTGGCAAATGGACACCATGCTTACAGGAATTCATGTCAAAGTCTTTTAATGTGAGATCACAAAGTGATAATCTGCTATGGATTGTGGTGAAAACTGGTGTCTGCACCAATGCCCAAGGGGCCTATATTTCTGTAAAGGCCACAAAAATCTCATATTTGTTATACTCCTAATAAAATGATGGTGAGGAACTCAGTATACCAGGAAAAACAAAGACTTCAATGGGTTCTATTTTTATTAGTTTATGAAGCGATAGCCAGTATATCAGGAACACCTAAACTTATATTCCGCATTGTTCCGTGAGACAGCAAGAGATCTTGGTGAGTTTATGGAGCTGGAAAAAAATTTAAGTGAAGTTTTTTTATTTTTCGAAGAAGAGATTATTATTTTCTGTTTGCTGTTAGAGATTTCATTTGACGTCTTGTCCTGGGGACACAAAAAAATTGAGAAGAAAGCTCCCCAAAGTTAAGGGAGATTCCCAATTTAGACAGCCATCATCTGAACAGTTGTCCACATTGGAAGATTTAAATTATAGAATATATAATATGCATTATAGCAGCATTTTTCAACCTGCCTGGGCATCCTGGGGTGCCTTGAATTTTCTTCAGGGGTGCCTTGGCAAAATGCTTAAAGATTACCCAGAAATTGTATACAAGCCAGCAGGTGGATGAAGTCTGCCTTTTAGTTTACACAAAGCCCAGGTTTTCATTGTGTGCCATGACAACCTTCTAGCTGCTAGCCTCCTAACAACCAATGATGCCATCCGTTAATAGGGAGGATGTTGGTCACCTGCACGGCCTTCTTGTTTAGCCCTCCTCTATCAGTGCTGGGGTTGCATCAGTTGGGGGGGGGGGAGAAACTACAGGAGTAGAGAAACATTGGAATACCATTTCGGTACTATTACAGTATCCGTGTATGAAAGTGTTTTTGCTTTAGAAGAGTAAGTCCAACATGTGTGTGTGTTGCTGCATTAGATAAAACTGGTAGAATAGGTTTTTACATTTTAGAATGGGGTGCCCTGAGACTGTCCAGAATTTTAAAGGGTGCCTCAAGATTGTTCATAACTTTAAAGGTTGCCTTGACTGAAAAAAGGTTAAGAAACACTGCATTATAGAATAGATTTAGTCATTCAGATGTGCTCTCATGGCGACTCTAAATCTTTAGATTTCCCCTTACTTTCCTGGT